TAGGAGTGACACGGAAGCCATTTCCCATCTTGCCCACGGGAAGGCAGGTGCCCTTCCTCCACCATTCAAGGTGACCCCAAGTGGCCCACTGAACTTGCTCAGGCATCCATCTCACTGAGCACCGGCAAAGCTTCAAAACACGTGACCAACCCCGCCAGTCAGTCCTCTACCTTTTGGCTGTTCTGGAAGAGAGCTCAGGAACATGGAGACCCAGAACAAAGTCATAATCGCATGCCCCGGCCCACGCACACACACATACACTCACCTTTCCTCATTCCCACCTCCGCATGCCTCTGAGGCAGTACCAGCACCTGTCAGAGCCACATCCTGTCATATGCCCTAGTGCCCTGGTGGTCAGGAAAACTGACAGCCCAGTTCAGAGCCATACTTGGTCATAGCTGTGTGCCTGTCTGGATTCCCAAGGGCAGAAGTGCTAGGCTCAGAGAAAATCTTACCCTTCCACTTGAATGATTTTATGTTTTTATTTTATTTTTTTACACTTGAGACATAGAAAGAGAGACAGCACGAGCAGGGGAGGGGCAGAGAGACGGAAACAGAACCTGAAGCAGGCTCCGGGCTCTGAGGTGTCAGCACAGAGCCTGATGCGGGGCTCGAACTCACAAACGGTGAGATCATGACCTGAGCCGAAGTCAGATGTTTCACTGACTGAGCCATGGAAGCTGTAGGATGTTTTAAGTGGCAAGCCACCATTTATTTACAGGGAAGGCTATCATTTTAATAAAATCAGGAATCCTATGGGAGCACTGATTTTTCTGTAAAACCACTTTCATTATCAGAAAACATGACACTAAATATTACACAAAATTAGAAAAATACTAGGGCTTGCCTTTTAAGGACACATGATCAAGAATCAGGCCTGCTGAACGAAAGGAAACGAAGAACTCTATAAAACCTTGTGAATCCAAAACCACTTTAAAGTCTTGCTACGTAGACGATGGAAGATGTGGGACCTATTGCCTTTGTTGGCTTTCTTGTCCCTTCTGCCCTTTAATTAAGAGGATTCACCTGGTTCAGCCCCCAGCATCTCGTACCTCTCTATCCTGCCCTTGGAGAGCTCATTCATTCTCCCACCTCCAACCTTTACCCTGTGCTAGGGACTTCCTCCCCATCTCCCAGACATCTAACTCATCTCTATCTGCCACTTGGATGATGCAGCATCACCCCCTAACTCAGTGTGTTGAAGACCGCCCTCTTCCCAACCTTGCTGCCTGTTAGTGAGGCACATATTCCTCTGGTCACTCGGGTTTGTGACCTTAGAACCCGCCTCCAACTGGGATGGCTGCAGAGACCAAGTCTGACGGGCCTCCTCTTCCCTCCCTCTCCCTTCCCTGCGCACTCCGCCAATCCCATTCTTTGGATCACATCTGAGCAAATCTTCCTTCCACCTGACGCTGCTTTCACTACATTACTTCCTGCTCAAACTTTCTTACAGCCAACGGAACAACTCTGAGTAGTTATTGGGGCCACGTGGTCTGATCCCAGCCTGTTTCAAACCTTTTCCCACTACTCCTCAAGAGTAATAAAAGCATCTGTAATATTACAGGTGAGCTTTACAGTCTGTCTCAATTTCCACAACACTATCTAGAAGCCAAAGAGGCAAACATTACCCCTATTTTGTAATCTGAGACTGTGATAGGCACGAGGTCACACCAGCAAAAACTGGAGGAACCAGAGCTAGTCCCGGATCTTCAAACTTGTCTTCATAAACTGCACTGTAACCTGGACGTGGACCCTTCTTGGCTTGAGTTCAGCAGACCCACATGGAGGGCCTGCTCTAGAAAAGCTCTGTTTAGGGGCGCCTGGGTGGCGCAGTCGGTTAAGCGTCCGACTTCAGCCAGGTCACAATCTCGCGGTCCGTGGGTTCGAGCCCCGCGTCAGGCTCTGGGCTGATGGCTCAGAACCTGGAGCCTGTTTCCGATTCTGTGTCTCCCTCTCTCTCTGCCCCTCCCCCGTTCATGCTCTGTCTCTCTCTGTCCCAAAAATAAATAAACGTTGAAAAAAAAAATTTAAAAAAAAAAAAAAAAAAGAAAAGCTCTGTTTAATGCTTTAGTGGGTACAAGTAAGAATTTCCACACTTGTTTACACTCTGGATGGGAAGAGGGACCCTGGGGCTCCTGGGCAGCTCAGTTGATCAAGTATTTGACTCTTGATTTCTACTCAGGTCACGATCTCACAGTTTGTGAGTTTATCCCTGCATCGGGCTCTGCTCTGACAGCATGGCACCTGCTTGGGCTCTCTCTCTCTCTCAAAAATAAATATACATTAAAAGAAGAAAAAACTGCCAGAAAAACAAAGGGAATGGGAGGGGAGGGGAGGGGAAGGGAGGGGAGAGGAAGGGGAAGAGAAAGGAAGAAAGAGGAACCCTGGAATGACAACCAGGTAAGCAAAGACTGTAAACAGCAGGCCAGGTGTGCCAACTGAATGATGGGCATGAGTGCGGCCTGGAAGGGACTCCATAAGGGACTTGAGATCTGACTTGAACATCAGCTAACGTTTCTGAGCAGACATCACTTGGAAATGGCAGTGAAGGTACAGTTTCTGAAGACCGTGGTGGCAGGGAGGGCACTCCTGGCAGAGGAGACAGCATGCATTCTCCAATTGCTCCCACCTTGCAAGGCCCTCTGTGCATATTCCTGAACTGGTCCAGACCTGGCTCCTCCCCCCAGCTCTACTGTAATTTTCTATCATAATTTAAAAGGATTCCTGTTCATCTTATGGCTTCCAAAGTCACTCTGGTCTCCCAGCTGGATTTTAAGCTCTTTAAGGCAAGAATGAGGTCATACTTCCATTCTCTCCAAACATCCCTATAGGGACCAGACGGTGGTTTTTGCCCCCACAACTGTGGGGAAGAGCTCTGAAATCCCCGATAAACTTCACGACTTTCACCGTGTTGACCACTGAGATTCAACCTAAAGGAAGTTTGCCATAAGGGCTAGTCTCTCTCCCTTCTATCAGGCTTAGGGTGTCCTCACAGAAGAATCCTTGCCTGATTTAACAAGACTGGAATGTACTGGTGAGGATGTGGGGATACAGGCATCCCCCTATATTGCTGGCAGGAGTAGAACTGAGCAGTTTCCATGCAGGGCAATATCAGAAGTAAAGACGAGCTATTCCCGAGTCCAGCAGCACCACTGCTAAGAATGCACCCACAGCAACACTGGCCTGTTTACAGCACAAGAAAACACACAGCCACTTTTGTCACCTTGGCACGCACTAAATCACTGTGCATCCATACAGAGGATGGGAGCAAATGAGGTACAGTGTCCCCATGCATATGCCCAAAATATTTCTGAACAGGGAATGGTGATGATGGTGGCCTTGAGGGAGCAAATAGGTGGCTGGGAACAGGTTTCGGAAAGGAGACCAGCTTTTTACCTTTAAATCTTGAACCATGTGCATGTATAGTTTTTTTAAAAAAGTACGTGAAGGGGCTCCTGGGTGGCTCAGTCAGTTGAGCGTCCAACTCTTGGTTTCAGCTCCTGTCATGATCCCAGGGAGTGTGGGATCAAGCCCCATGTCAGGCTCCACCCTAGGTGTGGAGCCTGCTTAAGATTCTCTCTCCCCCACTCCCTGCCCCCTCTCCTTGGCTCACACTCTCTCTCTAAAATAGAAAAGTATGCAACAACTTTCTAAAAATGTTTTCATCGTTATGGCAAAGAAACTGCCTTTTAAACCCCAGAAACCTAAGGTTTAGAAAAATAATGAGTGACTCTCTGACTGTTCCTCTGAGAGCACGATCATCTTTTCCACCTGCTTAAGCCCTCCTCCCAAGGCCTGGCACTCACTGGTTGTCTATGGTTGTTGAATGGATGAGATTTACTTTCCCATCTAAAAGTAAAGCATCCCCAGGGCGCCTGGGTGGCTCCATCAGTCAGGCATCTGACTCTGGATTTCAGCTCAGGTCACGATCTCCCAGTTTGTGGGATCAAGCCCCGTGTCAGGCTTTGCACTGGCAAAGTGAAACCTGCTTGGGATTCTCTCTCTCCCCCTCTCTCTGCCCCTCCCACCCCTCAAAATAAATACACTTAAAAAATAAACAAGTAAATAAAATAAAAGTAAAGCATTCCCAAACAAGAGGAATTGCCAAACAGTGATAAAGGTGGCAGGAGGATGCAGCGTGGCTGAAAACTGCTCCCAGTCAGTGGGTTCGAGCCCCGTGTCGGGTTCCGTGCTGACAGCTCAGACCCTGGAGCCTGCTTTGGATTCTGTGTCTCCCTCTCTCTGCTCCTCCCACACTCATGCTGTCTGTGGCTCTCTAAAATAAACATTAAAAAATAAATAAAATAACATAAAATAAACAATTTATGAAGCAGCTTATTACTAGTAGCTGAAAACCACTGGCCTGATCACAAATAAAAGGGCTACAAACTGAAAGGAATATTTCACATGTTCAGTAAAAGATATGAAAATGAAGAAAGCAGAACAGTTGATAAGGTCGTGTAAGCACATCACACCACCAGGGAGGCAGGTGAACACTGGTGGACAACAGCATCTAAATTAGCTGGCCCCCTCTTGGCAATCCAGGTATCTACAGAGAGGTCCTCTGAGTTCAGTCTTTAGCTGGATGTAATCACTTACTCACTCAAATCTTTACTGAGCAGACTACTATGTTCAGGCCTATGCTGTCTCCAGCACAATCTATGAAATTAAAGTTATGGTTCTGACCTTTGTCCATCGTCAGTGATAGATTCTCACTCTTACTACAAAGCACAAGTCAGCTTAGCCTCTCAAGTTGAAGATCAAGATAGTTCCAGAGCAAAATCTAAAGATTATCTGCAGACAGAAACAGTTGGCCCAGGGAACATACCACATGCACAAGTAAAAGCCTGATGGAAAAAAGACACCAGAGGATCAAATAGAGCCAACCCACATGTTAACACAGAAATCCAAGCAAACCTACTCAGACGAGTCTCATTCAAACAATACTTACAAAGGTTTCCTTATGCTATTTACAATTTTAAAGTAAATTTACTTTATAAGCAGCCAGGGAATTCTTTATTTAATACCATCCTAACATAAAAGTTCATTCAAACCATGAAACTGAGTTTTATGACAACCTAGAAATAGGAACTGAAAGAAGGCAAACATAATGCCTTAGAGATCAAGAAACATTTACACAGTTCCACTGTTAAAAACAGTTCAACATTCATCCAGTGAATACAGTTTGGATGTCAGTATACACGTTCGTCAGGGAGGTGAGAGACCTTTCGACTGTTCCTCAGATGGCTCCATATGCTGGCCCTGTAGAGCTTCCGGCAGAGGCTTGTTGTTTTCCAACACTGTTTGGGATTTCACATCCGAAGGTTCAGATTCCCAGGAAACGTGACTACCTGCCTTTTGCTTAAAAGACCAGACAGAAATATGTCACACAGATGCTGTCATTTTCACTCCACTGACAGCTGAAGCTATATGACTAAGCACATTCTATCACAGAGTCAAAAACGGAACATTTATATTCCAGGTCAGATTCTATTATAACAAGCAACACACATGATAAAAATCTCTACAGAACCATAATTTCAAAAGTCCTAACGACAACTCACTTGTTCCAAGCAGCAGTCATTATCACAAAATTTCAGTGTATATACGTGTGTGTGTGTGTATGTGTATACATTTTTTCAAGTTTCAGTATATTTAATCTACCAGTATTTGACCCGGTGTTCAGGGACATAAACCAAGGTTGGGGAAGGAAAACCAAGCCTTCCTTTAACCTCTAATGAACAGGCAGTTAATCTAACAACAATTTTAATAACAAAATACTCACAGTCCTTGCTTCTCCTACTCGTCTTAAAATGACACCTTCTGCCAATAAAGCCTTTCCTGTTTCCACAAATAATTTCTCTTCGTCTGTTTCTCCAAGCTTCTGTAGCTCAATGTACTTCTCCACAAACCTGGAATTCCAAGCAGTCACATCTTAGGTCTGTGCATGGAGAGTCATCAAGATGTGCTATTACACAACATCAAGCGGCTCAACAGGTCCGCCTACAGGAACATCTTTTTCCTCAAGTGGAATTCAATGAAACTCCTCACACTGGGAACTAAATTCCTTACAAAAAACAACAACAACAACAACAACAACAACAACAACCAACACAGGACCTGTAAAATGGCTTACTGTTGACAGGTAGACTTGAAGTTTGGATTGAACAGATCAAAAGCTTTCTGACCAGATCCATAGGCCGAATAAAATTTCCTAGAAAATACAAACAACACAATATAAATTTCCAACTACAGATCACGGCCAAGAGCAAAGTAAATAAAAATTACTAGGCTAAGCATAAGCTTTTTTTTTTTTTTTTTTTTTTTTTTAAGTAATGCATATGGTAAATATAACAAATGTTACAAAAAGGTAGCCAGTGAAAGTGACATTCCTGCTCACCTCCTCCCACCCCCAGTACCCTCCCAGGAATCAATACCAATCTGTTTCTTCTGCATTCATCCAAGAATATTCTCCTAACATATAAGCATATACACATCTATCCTTCCCTGTTCCAAGCTACGTAATTTAACCCAAAGGACAGGAAACACTCTAGTACATCTTGCCTCTTCTCCTTTTTTTTTTTGTTTTTGTTTCATTCACCAAGTTTATTTTGAGTCTTACTAGGCATTGTGTTCAGCCCAAAAAGAATCAAATATTGAAGAATATTTCTATTGCCCTGGC